AGCAATGAGGAAAAAAAAGGTGGTATCATCCAATGTTCTATTAAAATAGATTTCCTAATGACATCTACTCCCTGTCATGAGGTTTTTAACCTACCCTATAAAACCATGTCACAGGTACAAAAAGTGGAGGATGAGGTCAACTTGAGGAGATCTTCATTTGAGAGCTAAGTACATGCTCCAGATGTCGACAGAGGTTCTACCCAATAGAAATTCCAGGCTGGGTGAAGAATGACACCTATGAAATTTTACGTGTAGTTAAACAAGGCAGTACATGAGAAAGTGTCACAATTAATGATAAATGAGTAACAAAGACAGCATGAATCCACTGGAAGCAAGAAGGACTGAAAATAACAGGGAAAGGTGGGATGTGAGAGCTCACTGCAATGCCCCAGGATGAAGGTGTTGGAGAGCTGATCAAGGCATGGTGTTACAAGCACTGATGCCCTTGATAAAGGGTCAAAAATGAGTCTAATGGGGCAGAGAGACTAATAGTGGCATTAATGAGAAACTGGAGGCAGCACAAGACAATTCTGCCTCAGACATATGTGGTGTGCGTGGACACACACATGGAAGAAAGAGAGCAGCAACAGACCATGATAACCAAGTATGAAGTTTAGAAATAAAATAGTGCCAGCTCATAAAATGTAATAAGGGAAAAAAGGCCTCTTGGTCTGGCAAAGCCAATCAGAAAACAAGACACATGAAGGTGAGAGAGACTATAAAGTATCAAGCACCCAGCAAAGATTTTCTTCCAAGATTAGTTGTCTTATCACTAATTTGGAAAAAAAGATTAGTTGATTTTACACCTGTTCCCAGAGCTGATCTTTCTCGCAGGTACCTCTCAGGATCCACTCTGAGAATTAGAAAGAGGAGCTGGGTATCGTGGAGAAAGCCTGTAATCACACCCTGGGAGACTGAGGCACGAGGATCACAAGTTCAAGCCTCTCTCAGGCAATTTAGTGACTTAGTAAGACCTTGTCTCAAAAAATAAAAAAGAGCCAAGGGTGTCACTCAGTGCAAAGGCCCTGAACTCAATCAAGACCCACCCACCACCAAATTAGAAAGAGGAAGAAAATAGCAAGAGGAAATGAGAGCATACTTTTCTCTACAACACGTCTCCAGTGCTCTTGACACTATGAACTTTCACTAAAAGTGAGCAACGGAAGTTCCTTAGTGAAGAACTTATTAAGTAATATTCTATTTAATAGATCCTAATTTAAAAGGTAAGTCATTATGCCACAATACAAAAGCTTAAAACAATTTGCTCTTAAGACACTTTAAAATAGATCTTTATAAAACAATAATTTGGTTTAAGAAAAAGTATATATCCTAATCAATCCTACTACTCTAAGACAAATCACTATTAGGCTTTTAATCTCTCTTTTTTCTGGCCTTTAGTAAAAGCATATTGCCCTAATGGTTTATACAGAAAATATTGTGTATCACTCTGCTGCAATTATGGCACAAATGTAGCTTAAAACAAAAATGTGTACATAAAACTATAATATACTGGTGAAAAGTTTAGTCTTAACTGCAATTTATTGTTATTAACTGCCATTAATGATAACACATATGAAATTCAGATTTAAATGTCATGACCCAAATGATCATATACCTGAAATTTTTATTATTTACTAGATATCTAAACTGTAGCTTCTGATTTATAATAAATGAAAAGGCCCCATGCCTTCTAAAAACTCATTTTACAATAACACAAAACTGCATGTTTTAAGATGCTGTTTTGGAACTCTTAATAATGCCTGATTTTTAACTTGATTACTATATTTACACTCATATTTCACTATCCATATTTCTCAGGGTCTAGATTCTATCCTTAAGAAAAATCTTAACACAAGATAACTAGGACAAGCTAGTTATCTGTAGTAACTACAGCAACCTCTACCTCTGGTGACTATTTCAAAGTCCTTACTAACTTTCCAGGTAGCCAAAATAGTCTCAAAGGTCTCTTTCCTCTAAGCTACTGATAATACTACAGATAACAAATCAATTCAGATAAAATGTTAACATACAGGAGATGTTAAGACATATAGATGTTAAGAAATGGCTCAGACTTCTGGCTTGAGAAAATTAAATCCAGTTTGAACATGAAAAACTGGATTAGGTGATCTAGCTAAGTCTGCAGCTTTTCTCTGGGAGACTGAGTTTTATCTTGTTTTGGAGATTTTCTAGTCAAATTCTACTGCAATGCAGGAAAAATACACAAGCAAAAGATCTCCAGAGACTCATTAAAACTGCAAATAAGTCTTAACTTTGACATTTTTTTCCCCAGTACTGGGGATTGAACTCAGGACCTTGCACTTGTGAGGCAGGCATGCCACCAGTGAGCTAAATTCCCCCACCTCCTTAACTTTGACATTTTAAAACAGTTGATACTTAAGACACAAAACCCCTTGGGATGTAAATTGATAAGTTGAACTTAGCCATCTTTAAAAACCTGCCCAGACTTGCTAAAAAACTCATAAAGTATTCATTTGGGGTAAGTGTTATATTTGTGACACATCATATGCCAAACAGTGTCACAATCACGTAAGAAAATCAACTGCACCTCTAACTCTAAAACAATACTGGGATTTGATCATTAAGGTTTAAAGCAAAGGCCATTTGTGGAGCTATCTTCAGGGAATATTTAATTAGGACCAAATGTTTGTGAAGAGCAGAAGCCTATGCTTTATATTAGTAGCAATCCTGTCAATATCTTGAGTGACTACTTTGCGCATACAAATTCCTCATACAGATACAGTATGGGCCACAAAAGATGTCTGATTCGGCCAAGACCACTGGCTAATTAAACCGCTTCTTTTCTTACTTAATACCCTGGCAGCTACTCTCTTGGCCAGCCCTTAAATACATTTATGGATTTCAGAGAGGTGCATTAAAACTCCTAAACTATGCTAATAGGAACTCATCGAATATATTTTAGACTGACAGTTCTCAAACAACAGGTTTGTTTACTTAACTGTACCTAGAGAATTAGCATATAAAATGGCTGTTGGAAAAATAAGCAGACAAGGATAATAAACTTAATGCTTTAGTAGACTCAATTATTTCACTTCCCTGCACCAATAGCGTTGGACGATAGTCATTCAGGCAAACAAAAGCTGTGTCTACTGTGTACCTGGTGCTGTGGAAGGCAAGCAAAGAAAAAGAAAAGAAACCATACAATAACCCCAAGGTCTATATAGAGCGCCAGGAAACATGCCCATTAAATTATTGCACTACAGTGGGTTTATTGAGTACTCACTGCATACCCAAGTGCTGGGTACTATGGTCACCCCTAAGAACGTTTAACTTACTGAAGACCAGTAAACAATGATGAACTAGGACAACTCCAGGCCTGGCTAGTCTTAAAGGAGCAGTATTTTATTCTGGAAACATGCTTATCTCTCTGTCAATCTTTTCTATAGATGGTAATTTTCTGCATAATATCCACCTGTTAATCCAGACTAAGGTTGCCCAGAGAGTTAAATGAGGGAATGCAATATTTTTAACAAAGATAAATGAATAGTAAGCTGAAACACATTTACACTTAAATGGTAATTTTGTTTGTACATATTCTTGCCTTCAATAACAAAGGTAAATATGGTCATAAAGTAGAACATCCGACTCGAAAGTCACAACGGCAAGAAGTTATTTTCTTGCAGTTTGCTTAAGGTGAAACGGAAGCTAAACAAGTGTTCGTTACTCCCCCCCAACCGCTCACTTTTAGTGAATTCTTCATAAAGGTTCTGTGACCACTCAATCCCACAGGCAGTACAGGCAAAATTACAGATTGGGTTTTCAAGATGACAAAATAATTTTTAACCCTGTCAAAAGCACCAGTTTTACAGCCATACAACACGAATGAGTTTATAAAATAGGGGCCTTTACCTGTTAACTATAGTTTAAAGTTTTGTAAGGTGCAAACCTGACATTTGTTTCTTAAAGTCTTACACAAGAAAGGCACCGAATCACATGAGTATCTTTAAGAAACGTACACTGGCTTTCAATAGCTTACTAGAGAACTAAACAGAATTGTATTTAGAGCTATTGATAAACGAAGCAATCATCCATACCGCAAAGCAAAAGGGCACGAAAAAGCTAAAGAAATGTCCGAACAAATTTAAATTTTGCAAGCTGTGTTTCGAAGCTTTTCCACCAGTGTGGCTATTTTTACTGCGACATTTTCAACGGGGCTACTGCACGCCGTTATTTAAAACCGCAACCCAGAGAAAAGAAGTGTCTTAAGATTTACCTATTAACATCAGTCAAACCTAAATATATGCCCCTTCTATCTTGCCGGCCAAGTGGCAAAAATGTACGAGAACTCAGGAAGTTTTGAAATTGCGGTGACAGTAGACAAGGGGAGACGAAGGGAAGGAATCAAGGAGCGGAGAGCAACTCCGTGCGCCTGACGTCCAGAGCAAGTTCCCGGCTCCGGATGGGACTCGACCCGGCAACTTCCCGCGGCCTCCCACCCTTCGCGGCCCCGACGCGGCCTCCGCGAGCGCTCGGTGACAGCCAGCTCGGGGAT